ATAGACACTGGAGCCTCTCGTACGGTTGTTAGTTCCCAACTTATAAGTCAGTTCCTTGGGGACTCCGCATACAACCGAGAACGCATTAATTTAGTAACAGCCACCGGTCAGCGTATACCCGTCCGTGGAGAGAAAGAGATGGAGTTGAAGCTAGGCAACGTGATCTACCTGCATAATGTCATCGTGGCTGATATAATGGACGACTGCATCCTAGGCCTAGACTTTATGAGGAATAATTGTTGTGAGATCGATGTTAAGCAAGGTGTTTTGAAATGTGGACAGGAGGAACTTTTTATGGAAGGTGCGTTACCAGGGAACGTGTACAGCATTAAGAAGATTGTTCTTCCGCCGAGATCGGAAACGATTGTTCCGGTTAGTCTTCCTCGAAACGCTGGGCAAGCCCACCGTTGTGTACTTGTGGAAAGGGTAAACAATGACCTTCCATGGAAAGTAGCTCGAACCTTGGTCAGGACCACTGACATCTCAGAAGTACGCGTGCTGAACCTTTGTGACCGGGAACAGATTATAGAAAGAGGCACGCTGGTTGGTACTTGTGAGGAAGTGGATTGGTTACGTCGGTGCCAATATCTATCGAGTGAGACCCCCAGCAAGGATGCACAAACGAGAGTGACCACACTTTTGGAAGACTGTCGCAGCGTTCTCTCCCCGAACGAAATGCTCAAGGCGGAGAAGTTGTTACTCAAGTATGCCGATGTATTCTCATCAAACGATACTGATATAGGAAAGACTGGCTTAGTTCAACACAAAATAAACACAGGAGAAGAATTGCCTATCCGTCAGCGGCCAAGAATATTCCCGGTAGCACGAGAAAAGGAAGTAGAAACCATGATTTAAGGAATGGTAAAGGATGGTGTTATTGAACCTTCCTCTAGTCCATGGTGTTCACCCGTGGTGCTGGTAAAGAAGAAGGATGGCAGCATGCGGTTTTAAGTTGACTACCGCCGTCTGAACGACGTTACGAAGAAGGACAGCTATCCCTTGCCAAGAATTGATGACACGCTGGACATACTTACAGGAGTAAAGTGGTTTAGCACGCTGGATCTAAAAATTGGCTACTGGCAAGTTGAAATTGACCCTAAGGACAAGGAGAAAACTGCGTTCTCGACGGGAAGGGAAGGAAGGGTCTGTGGCAATTTAAAGTAATGCCGTTTGGGTTGTGCAATGCTCCGGCAACGTTTGAAAGGCTGATGGAACTTGTACTTACCGGGCTAATTGGCGATGCCTGTCTGGTCTCCTTGGATGACATCATCATCGTAGGCCGGACGTTTGAGGAACACCTTCAAAAACAAGAACGCGTGCTCATGATTACTTCACTAAGTGGCCAGAAGTCTTCGCCATTCCAAATCAAGAAGCTTCAAGAGTTGCAGATAAACTAGTTCATGAAGTCTTCTGTCGTTTTGGAGTATCTTTAGAGATTCACAGCGATCAAGGAAGGAATTTTGAGTCTCAAATATTCCAGGAAACTTGTCGAGTTATGGGTACTCATAAAACAAGAACGACTTCTTATCACCCGCAATCTTATGGAATGGTAGAACGATTTAATCAGACATTGGAGAGGTACCTAGCGAAAGTTATAGACAATCGGCAACGAGATTGGGACAAGCACATACAACCGTTTTTGTTGTCATATCGAAGTTCTGTTTACGAAAGTACAGCAGTGACACCAGCTTTCGCAAACTTTGGAAGAGAATTACGGCTGCCTGCAGACCTGATCACCGGGATACCACTTGATACCCCACGCAGTATAACCGATTATGCAAATGACTTGCGGAACAAAATGAATGACATTTATGAGCACGTCAGACAATCAGGCCAGCAAATGTCTGAGAAGATGAAAACCCGGTATGACCGCAAAATGAACAACAAGGGGTTCGACGAAGGTTCACTAGTGTGGTTGCACCATCCAGTCAAGCAAAGGGAAATCTCCTAAGCTTCAAGCTAAATGGGACGGCCCGTACCGGATTATAACCAGGATCAACGATGTAACCTACCGGATACAGAAAGGCGCAAGAGGGACTCCTAAGATCGTCCATGTGGATCGCCTGGCGCGTTATTATGGGTCCGATAATGCTCGGGACGAGCATGTCTTAGGAGGGGGCAGTGTTGCGCGAATACGTCGACGTCATGTATCCGGCACTAGCGCCATCTAGTTGCTCGGAACGAAGAACTAAGCTTCTAGAAGTTGACACTCGTACTCTCGGCCCCTTGCGCGTGTTAACTTGAATATTCTGGATGTTTCGGTGCTAATTTGTATTTATAGGCGCTGCAAGATGCGATCGGGGAAGTATTGAATTTAGCAAGACAAGCGAAGCTTCGGAGCGAAATAAAGTGAATTAGTGTGCTTAATTATTAGTGTTTTAAGTTTTAATTTGTGTAAAGAAAATTAAAATATTAATTTAGGTAATTCTATCGGCAATTTTTATTATCACAAACCTCAAGCTCGTAACAATATATACAAGTACGCTGGACTGGCTATACACCGTGACATGATAAATCGATTTGATTTCCGCCATTTTGGCGCTGACAGCAGAAGTGCACGTCCACGGAACCAATAATAGGGATAAGACGGTGTACCAAATTATATCGACAAAAATTCTATACCCTACCATACCTAAATAAATAGAATGGACTCTATGGATAGATGGACTCTATGCGTAACGTCCATTCTATTTATGTATCATATTAATATAATGCCATTATCATTAATCATCATTAAAACCCTTCACAAGTCCATTGATGAATATAGGCCTCCCCCAAGGAATGCCACAAAGCACTATCCTGCGGCGCATCGCCAATAGCCATACCAACACTCCTCTTCCCTTACGACTCCACCTTGATTACAGCGGTACAGGGAGAGGAATCTCCTCTAGTCACAGCCCACTAAAACACATACAACGTGGCTCGACATCATCAGGCGACCTTTTGACACTTCGCTATGGCCCTTGAGTTTGGTGGAAAATGAGAAAAGAAGAAATAAAAAACCATTCGAAATAATAATCTAATACTTTTATACTTACTGGTACTGGTACTACCAGAAAATATTACCGGTATACTGCACTTTTTCAAAGTGGTGCAGTTCTCATGTCTAATAAAACGTCTCTGAAACGTTAGGAACAAATATGATCATTTTGTTTAGGACGCCAATTCACAATATTTATGCTTTTAATCCATAATTTTAGTTCTAGGTTCCGTTGGAAACCCGTTAATTAATAAACATTTGTTGTTGGCGACATTGTTGGTTACAGATATGGGTAGGAAAGAACATCGATAAGTATTATAGACAAGGAACTCGACAACCCTATTGAATTTTATTGTTTATTAAAACTCAGTAATATATAGCCAAAGATGTTGGATGGGTTAAGATTAGTAACAAATTTTTAAGTACTTATATTATAAAATAGTTTTAATTTGTTTAATATTTACTGCAAATTCACTTACTTGTGAAATGTTATACCACTTCCCTTTTGATAACGTGTTTTACAGATATTATTAATAAAAATAATTCTTATTATGTAACTAATATTATACACAATCAAACAATATAAAATACTTTCGTTTTTGAGTTTAAAAGTTCAAATTACGGACTTATTAAATAAGACATTATAAATGAGATAATAGACTTTGACATATTATGTCAATTTTATTTTTCAAGACATCCTTTAGCGGCGCTTCAAATTGGCACAGTCATTTTCTATGGTACAGCCAGTTTTTTTTTGCGCCCGAAGCAAATATGGGCAACCCTCCGGATTTATCATAGCATAGCATACCACGCAGCCGGCTGCGTGGTTACGTGGTGACTTTTACCTACTAAACCCAATCTTTTAGGAACTGGCTTAACGATCTGACTAGAGATCTCTAAGCCGTATACGAACGCGACCCTCCTTGGCAGAAAGGAGGGCGCAAGCTGAAAGGAGGGCGCAAATATAGCCAGTCTAGCGTACTTGTATATATAGAGGTCAGTGTGTCTGTACTACTAAGAAATTCAGCACTTCATAGGCGTGATTTTACTGACAGCTGTCGCAGAGATCAAGCTATCTTTTATGAACTATAGTGGCCAGTTTTGCAACTGCACCTGCAGCCTTTTATGATTTTGAGTTGTTTTGAGGAAGATACTGCTGCTCATTTTCCATTTCAGTTTCCCTCTGTCGCTTCTATAGAGTTGAAATAATTTTTATTGGCTCTTACGACACCACGATATGTTTCTTTTTATAGAATAAGAGTGACAAATCAGCACACAATCTACGGTCTAACTTAAGGTAAGTAGATGCTGTGACCCCCAAACATCTAGTTGTATGCTCGATGACACATTTACACACCGGAATTTCATCGTAAAAGATAAAAATATTTGCAACAGAAACCATATACACCAAGAAATGGTATGGCTACTTTATATTGGCCGGGCCACACTAACGAGAAATGCCGTTAATCATCGCGTTGATGGACGTTGAATCTAGGTATTGCCACGACTTACGCGATAATTTGACAACGGCATTAACTATGCCGTTTCTCGTTTGGCGATAACTCGAGTGGCTGCTGGCTGTACATCAAAGTATTAACGCACGAAGTAACGCGATGAAGCGGCCACACTACTAAAGTTGTTCAAAACGACTATAAATCAATAGCACGCTACAGACTATAAACTATAAATTTCTAGCGCGCTATTAAATACGCTATGTTATAGCGCGCTATTTATAAGAAAGCGTGTAGGAGGCCGGCAAACGCGTTAATAATAATAATAATAATAATAATAATAATAATAATAATAGGGCGTAGGGAAGTGACGACCCCATCGCCCGTTGACGTGACGGTTATGTGACAAAACCGCTACGTCCGCGCAGTCAGTCAGCACCTTGCCAAGAGGTGTGAGCGCCGTGACTCGGCAAAAATTGATGGTGCAAGAGCCCGCTTGTGCATATGGCCTCACCATGAAACGGCGCCGGGTCTGGGCGTCTCCCGTTAAATGACGCCCTGTATGGATGATGGAACATAGAAGATTGCGCAAAGGGCCGCTGCCTGGAGGTCGTCAGGGCGCGTCTGGAGCTGGCGCTGGACGCGACAGCATGCGAACCGCCAGCCGAGCGCGAGGTGCTGCACGACCACCCAGCAGCCCCTCGCATCCATCATCCCCACCAGCTTGCTTGGTGTCGGCAGGGTCTTCGCAGGCCCAGCAATCGGCACCCGCCACTGGTGGAGTACGCCGCATGCGATGGACCATCAATATGAATTCAAACGCATTGCGGGCGTATTTTAGGGCGAAAGGGGGAGAAATTGGAGGTTTCGCGTATCGGGCTAGGATGCATCGTCTTTTTATTGAGCTGGAGCCATCTATTACTGTCACCGAGCAAAACCTGGCAGACCGAGTTCGGTATATCTTACGCTCAAATATATTTGATGGCGCCGAACTCGAACGGCTACGACGTGAGGCTGTTCCCTCATCAAATGAAAACGCTACGACTGAGGGTGCGGTGCCACAAGTTGCAGAACAACCCGCACACGTGGATGCCGCCGAGAATACCCCAGTGGTTGCTGATTCAAATGATGAAGGAACATTCACCCAGGAACTAGAAATAGAGCAAATGAGGAGTACATTGGAAGAGGCGATTATGGAAACGCGCAGTACGCCTCTCGAAAATCGACCGCGACTTCCCCGCATAGCCCTAAGCAAGCGGAATCGGGCTGTCGTGAGGGCTCTGAACCCAATGCTGGTGACCTATTTGGAAGCCAGCCGGGACCTTTGCGAGACGGACTCAATTCTCTTTGGCGCCGCACTGGCAGTCTGCCGTATTATAGGCGCCAAACTTTCCACGGCTGGACGCACTACTGGACAAAGTAGTGCTATCCCAGCCTGGAGAACAAGAATTGAAGAATGTATCGCAAAAACTAGGGCCCTCATCGGCAGACTGATATGCTTCAGGTCAGACAATACCAGGCCAAGGATTGTGCGCACCGTCAAGATGGCATTTGCTGGGAAAAATGTTAGTTTGTCCCAGCCGGATATAATGCAAAAACTGACGGAGCGCATAGACGACCTGAAGCAGAGAATCGCTGCTTGGGGAAAGCGAATTCGGCGATATACCGAGAGGTCGACACGGTTCAACCAGAATCGTCTCTTCCAGAGTGATCAGAAGAGGCTCTATAAATCATTGGAGCGACCAATGGTAAGTGGAACGGGCCCAGTAACGAATCAGGCCGACACGGTCGCGTTCTGGCGCAGCCTGTGGTCAGAGCCCGTAAACCACAACGAGGGCCCTTGGACGGAAGTTGTGGCGAGTCAGTGTGCGGGTATTACGCCCATGGACCCCGTCACCATAACGCCGGATGACGTAGCTGAGGCGGTCCGTAGGGCCCCGAACTGGAAAAGTCCGGGACTCGACGGGCTGCATCACTACTGGCTGAAGGGGTTCGTGGTGTGTCACACTGTGCTCGCCCGACAGTTTCAAGAGGTTCTCAACCAGAAGTCGCTCCCGAGCCTCTTCACTACTGGGATCACCCATTTGGTTCCTAAAGGCCAGAGTACCACAGACCCGAGCAAATACCGCCCCATCACATGTCTACCGACCATATATAAGACACTAACATCCATTTTGAGCGCGAGAATCACTCGTCACCTGGACTCAAATCAGGTGATGTCGCGCGCTCAAAATGGATGTCGGGGCGGCGGTCGTGGAACCAAGGAACCACTCCTCATTGACGCGGTCATTGGCAAAGTGGTGAAACGCAACCGTCGGAACTTCTCCGCCGCCTGGATAGACTACAGAAAGGCATTCGACTCGGTGCCCCATACATGGCTAAAGAGAGTCCTCGAACTGTACAAGATAGACTGTACAGTTAGAGACTTCCTCGAGCAGTGTATGGGGCAGTGGAGTACGATCCTTTGTCATCTGGGCGAGCGGATGATGGCTGCGGAGAACCACATAAGGATAAGAAGGGGTATCTTCCAGGGCGATTGTCTGAGTCCAAAATGGTTCTGCCTCTCTCTGAACCCTCTCAGTACCTTACTGGAGGGCTCCGGGAGGGGATTTCAGCTACGGAAAGGAGGGACAAAAGTGACCCACCTTTTCTATATGGATGACCTCAAGTTATTCGCCTCCAGTCGCTCCCATCTTATGGAACTGCTAAACATCACTTGTGAATTTAGCAATTCCATTGGAATGGAGCTGGGGACGGATAAGTGTGCGGTCCTCCATGTTGAGAGGGGTAGGGTTGCTAACTCTGAGGGCATAGACTTATCTATGCCCGTCAACTTAAGGACCCTTTCCGAGGCTGAAACATACCGATACCTGGGTATGTCACAGAACATTGGTATCGATGAGGCTGGTATGAAACAGTCAGTTTGCGACGTGTTTTATGCACGCTTGACCAAAGTGCTTAACAGCCTTTTGTCCGGTGTGAATAAGACACAAGCATATAACGGCTGGGTCATGCCTGTCCTCATGTATACCTTTGGCATACTCAGGTGGACTCAGACTGAACTTAACGCCCTGGATAGAAAAGTCCGCACTACCATGACGTCCCACAGGATGCATCATCCGAGATCGTCGGTAATGAGGCTGTACTTGCCGCGAAAGCATGGTGGGCGTGGCTTCTTGAGCGCGCTCACCATGCATAATCGCGAAGTGTGCAGCCTCCGTAATTACTTCCTGGCGAGATCGGATGATCCATTCTATAAGGACGTCATTTCTTGTGATAAAGGACTTACCCCTCTATCCTTAGCCAACGAGCAATGGCAAGACCCGGCAGTGCAGACAATTTCCGACCGGGAGACCGTATGGAAGTTGAAGGAGCTCCACGGGAGGTTCTACAAGTCTCTACATGGGCCTTTCGTAGACGCAGTAAACTCTCTCCACTGGCTACGCTTTGGTGACCTCTTCGGGGAAACCGAGGGTTTTGTCTGTGCAATACAGGATCAGGTTATTAAGACCAACAACTATCGGAGATACATCCTAAAGGATGGCACCATCGACATCTGTCGAGCTTGTCGCCATCCCGGTGAGTCACTTAGGCATGTCATCTCCGGTTGTTCGGCGCTTTCTAACTCTGAGTACTTGCACAGGCACAACCTAGTAGCCAGAATTCTACACCAGGAGCTCGCTCTGAAATACGGTTTCGTGGATCGGAAGTTGCCGTATTACAAGTACTTGCCGGAAGCCGTGCTCGAAAATGATCGCGCCAGGCTCTATTGGGACCGGGCCATCATCACAGACAGGACTATTCTTGCGAATAAGCCTGATATTGTGCTGATGGACCGGGCACAGTCAAGGATATTTTTGGTCGACATTACCATTCCGTGTGACGAGAACCTCGTGAAAGCCGAAACAGATAAGCAAACAAAATATCTGGACCCGGCTCACGAGGTGACCGACATGTGGGGTGGTCTGCCGACCGAAATTATTCCTGTAGTCGTCTCTGCAAACGGGCTAATCCCAGTCAGCCTCTCGGGTCATCTGAGGCGGCTGGGACTACGTGGCGGACCGCTCCAGGCTCAAATGCAGAAGGCGGTGCTCCTCGATACCGCCCGCATCGTCCGCCGGTTTCTTTCCCTTTCCCCCTAACCCTCGGCCGTGTGGTCTCCCCTGCCGAGGGCTTCCATCTGGTTGGGCTTTTATTTATTTATGTATTTTCGTATTTATTTTATTTTATTGATATTTTTGTATATTTGTCTTTTCATTTTCGTTTATAATTATATATTTATACATCCCAACCAGATGAGAAAACTATATAGATACCCCACACATAATAATAATAAATAATAATAATAATAAAGGCGTAGGGAAGTGACGACCCCATCGCCCGCTGACGTAACGGTTATGTGACAAAACCGCTACGTCAGCGCAGTCAGTCAGCACCTTGCCAAGAGGTGCCGTAGTGTCGTGCCTCGGCAAAAATTGAAGGTGCAAAGGCCCGCTTGTGCACATGGCCTCAACATGAAACGGCGCCGGGTCTGGGCGTCTCCCGCTAAATGACGCCCTAAAAATGGATGATGGAATTAAATAGAACGCGCAAAGGGCCGCTGCCTGGAGGTCGCCAGGGCGCGTCTGGAGCTGGCGCTGGACGCGGCAGCATGCGAACCGCCAGCCGAGCGCGAGGTGCTGCACGACCACCCAGCAGCCCCTCGCATCCATCATCCCCACCAGCTGGCTTGGTGTCGGCAGGGTCTTCGCGGGCCCAGCAATCGGCACCCGCCTCTGGTGGAGTACGCCGCATGCGTTGGACAACCCAGATGAACAGCAACGCATTGCGGGCGTATTTTAGGGCGAAAGGGGGAGAAACTGGATGTTTGGCGTATCGGGCTAGGATGCACCGTCTTTTTGCTGAGCTGGAGCCATCTTTACCCGTCACAGAGCAAAACCTGGCAGACCGAGTTCGGTATATCTTGCGCTCAAGTATATTTGATGTCGCCGAACTCGAACGGCTACGACGTGAGGCTGTTCCCTCGTCGGATGAGAATGCTACGGCTGAGGATGCGGCGCCACAAATGGTAGAGCAACCCGCAAACGTGGATGCCGCCGTGAATACCCCAGTTGTGGTTGATTCAAACGATGATGGAACAGTCGCCCAGGAACTGGAATTAGAGCATAAGAGGAGTACATTGGAAGAGGCGATTGTGGAAACGCGCAGTACGCCTCTCGAAAATCGACAGCGACTTCCCCGCATAGCCCTAAGCAAGCGGAATCGGGCTGTCGTGAGGGCTCTGAACCCAATGCTGGTTACCTATTTGGAAGCCAGCCGGGACCTTTGCGAGACGGACTCAATTCTTTTTGGCGCCGCGCTGGCAGTCTGCCGTATCATAGGCGCCAAGGTTTCCACGGCTGGACGCGCTACTGGCCATAGTAGCGCTATCCCAGCTTGGAGAAGAAGAATTGAGGAACGTATCGCAAAGGCTAGAGCTCTCATCGGCAGACTGATATGCTTCAGATCGGGCAACAACAGGCCAAGAATTGTGCGCACCGTCAGGATGGCGTTTGCTGGGACAAATGTCAGTTTGTCCCAGCCGGATATAACGCAAAAACTGACGGAGCGCATAGATGATCTGAAGCAGAGAATCGCTGCTTGGGGAAAGCGGATTCGGCGATATACCGAGAGGTCGACACGGTTCAACCAGAATCGTCTCTTCCAGAGTGATCAGAAGAGGCTCTATGAATCATTGGAGCGACCAATGGTAAGTGGAACGGGTCCAGCACCGAATCAGGCCGACACTGTAGCATTCTGGCGCGGCCTGTGGTCAGAGCCCGTAAACCACAGCGAGGGCCCTTGGACGGAAGTTGTGGCGAGTCAGTGTGCGGGTATTACGCCCATGGACCCCGTCATCATAACGCCGGATGACGTAGCTGAGGCGGTCCGTAGGGCCCCGAACTGGAAAAGTCCGGGGCTTGACGGGCTGCATCACTACTGGCTGAAGGGGTTCATGGTGTGTCACTCTGTGCTCGCCCGACAGTTTCAAGAGGCTCTCAACCAGAAGTCGCTCCCAAGCCTCTTCACTACTGGGATCACTCATTTGGTTCCTAAAGACCAGGGTACCACAGACCCGAGCAAATACCGCCCCATCACGTGTCTACCGACCATATACAAGACACTAACATCCATTTTGAGCGCGAGAATCACTTGTCACCTGGACTCAAATCAGGTGATGTCGCGCGCTCAAAATGGATGTCGGGGCGGTGGTCGTGGAACCAAGGAACCACTCCTCATTGACGCGGTCATTGGCAAAGTGGTGAAACGCAACCGTCGGAACTTCTCCGCCGCCTGGATAGACTACAGAAAGGCATTCGACTCGGTGCCCCATACATGGCTTAAGAGAGTCCTCGAGCTGTACAAGATAGACTGTACAGTTAGAGACTTCCTCGAGCAGTGTATGGGGCAGTGGAGTACGATCCTTTGTCATCTGGGCGAGCGGATGATGGCTGCGGAGAACCACATAAGGATAAGAAGGGGTATCTTCCAGGGCGATTGTCTGAGTCCAATCTGGTTCTGCCTCTCTCTGAACCCTCTCAGTACCTTACTGGAGGGTTCCGGGAGGGGATTTCAGCTTCGGAAAGGAGGTACAAAAGTGACCCACCTTTTCTATATGGATGACCTCAAATTATTCGCCTCCAGTCGCTCCCATCTTATGGAATTGCTAAACATCACTTGTGAATTTAGCAATTCCATTGGAATGGAGCTTGGGACGGATAAGTGTGCGGTCCTCCATGTTGAAAGGGGAAGGGTTGCTAACTCTGAGGGCGTAGACTTATCTATGCCCGTCAACTTAAGGACCCTTTCCGAGGCTGAAACATACCGATACCTGGGTATGTCACAAAACATCGGTATCGATGAGACTGGTATGAAACAGTCAGTTTGCGACGTGTTTTATGCACGCTTGACCAAAGTGCTTAACAGCCTTTTGTCCGGTGTGAATAAGACACACGCATATAACGGTTGGGTCATGCCTGTCCTCATGTATACCTTTGGCATACTCAGGTGGACTCAGACTGAACTTAACGCCCTGAAAAGAAAAGTCCGCACTACCATGACGTCCCATAGGATGCATCATCCGAGATCGTCGGTAATGAGGCTGTACTTGCCGCGAAAGCATGGTGGGCGTGGCTTCTTGAGCGCGCTCACCATGCATAATCGCGAAGTGTGCAGCCTCCGTAATTACTTCCTGGCGAGATCGGATGATCCATTCTATAAGGACGTCATTTCTAGTGATAAAGGACTTACCCCTCTATCCTTAGCCAACGAGCAATGGCAAGACCCGGCAGTGCAGACAATTCCCGACCGGGAGAACGTATGGAAGGAGAAGGAGCTCCACGGGAGGTTCTACAAGGCTCTACATGAGCCTTTCGTAGACACAGTAGCCTCCCTCCACTGGCTACGCTTTGGTGATCTCTTCGGGGGAAACCGAGGGTTTTGTCTGTGCAATACAGGATCAGGTTATTAAGACCAACAACTATCGGAAATACATCCTAAAGGATGGCACCGTCGACATCTGTCGAGCTTGTCGCCATCCCGGTGAGTCACTTAGGCATGTTATCTCCGGTTGTTCGGCGCTTTCTAACTCTGAGTACTTGCACAGGCACAACCTAGTAGCCAGAATTCTACACCATGAGCTCGCTCTGAAATACGGTCTCGTGGATCGGAAATTGCCGTATTACAAGTACTTGCCGGAAGCCGTGCTCGAAAATGATCGCGCCAGGCTCTATTGAGACCGGGCCATCATCACAGACAGGACTATTCTTGCGAATAAGCCTGATATTGTGCTGATGGACCGGGCACAGTCAAGGATATTTTTGGTCGACATTACCATTCCGTATGACGAGAACCTCGTGAAAGCCGAAACAGATAAGCAAACAAAATATCTGGACCTGGCTCACGAGGTGACCGACATGTGGGGTGGTCTGCCGACCGAAATTATTCCTGTAGTCGTCTCTGCAAACGGGCTAATCCCAGTCAGCCTCTCGGGTCATCTGAGGCGGCTGGGACTACGTGACGGACCGCTCCAGGCTCAAATGCAGAAGGCGGTGCTCCTCGATACCGCCCGCATCGTCCGCCGGTTTCTTTCCCTTTCCTCCTAACCCTCGGCCGTTTGGTCTCCCCTGCCGAGGGCCTCCATCTGGTTGGGCTTTTATTTATTTATGTATTTTTATATTTAGTTTATGTTATTGATATTTATGTATATTTATCTTTTCATTTTCATTTATAATTATATATTTATAGAACCCAACCAGATGAGAAAACTATATTGATACCCCATAATAATAATAAAAAGGCGTAGGGAATTGACGACCCCATCGCCCGCTGACGTAACAGTTAAGTGACAAAACTGCTACGTCAACGCAGTCAGTCAGCTCCTTGCGAGAGGTGTGATCGCCGTGCCTCGGCAGAATTTAGGGTGCAGAGGCCCGTTTGTGCTTATGGCTACACACGAAACGGTGCCGGGCCTGGGCGTCTCCCGTTAATGGACGCCCAAATAATGGATGATGGATAAGAAGATAGTGCGCAAAGGGCCGCTGCCTGGGGGTTGCCGGGGCGCGTCTGGAGCTGGCGCTGGACGCGGCAGCATGCGGGTCGCCAGCCGAGCGCGAGGAGCTTCACGGTCACCTAGCAGCCCTCCGCATCCATCATCCGCACCAGAAGGCTTGGTGTCGGCTGGGTCTTCTCGGACTCAGCAAGCGGCACCCGCCGCTGGTGGAGCACGTCACATGCGTTGGTCACAAGCAATGAATGCAAACGCATTGCGAGCGTATTTTAGGGCAAAAGGGGAAGAAACTGGATGTTTGGCGTATCGGGCTAGGATGCATCATCTTTTTGCTGAGCTGGAGCCATCTTTAACCGTCACAGAGCAAAACCTGGCAGACCGAGTTCGGTATATCTTGCGCTCAAATATATTTGATGTCGCCGAACTCGAACGGCTACGACGTGAGGCTGTTCCCTCGTCGGATGAGAATGCTACGGCTGAGGATGCGGCGCCACAAATGGTAGAGCAACCCGCAAACGTGGATGTCGCCGTGAATACCCCAGTTGTGGTTGATTCAAACGATGATAGAACTGTCGCCCAGGAACTGGAATTAGAGCATATAGCATATAGTACATTGGAAGAGGCGATTGTGGAAACGCGCAGTACGCCTCTCGAAAATCGACCGCGACTTCCCCGCATAGCCCTAAGCAAGCGGAATCGGGCTGTCGTGAGGGCTCTGTACCCAATGCTGGTGATCTATTTGGAAGCCAGCCGGGACCTTTGCGAGACGGACTCAATTCTTTTAGGCGCCGCGCTGGCAACCTGCCGTATCATAGGCGCCAAGGTTTCCACGGCTGGACACGCTACTGGCCATAGTAGGGCTATCCCAGCATGGAGAAGAAGAATTGAGGAACGTATCGCAAAGGCTAGAGCTCTGATCGGCAGACTGATATGCTTCAGATCAGGCAACAACAAGCCAAGAATTGTGCGCATCGACAGGATGGCGTTTGCTGGGACAAATGTCAGTTTGTCCCAGCCGGATATAACGCAAAAACTGACGGAGCGCATAGATGATCTGAAGCAGAGAATCGCTGCTTGGGGAAAGCGGATTCGGCGATATACCGAGAGGTCGACACGGTTCAACCAGAATCGTCTCTTTCAGAGTGATCAGAAGAGGCTCTATGAATCATTGGAGCGACCAATGGTAAGTGGAACGGGTCCAGCACCGAATCAGGCTGACACTGTAGCATTCTGGCGCGGCCTGTGGTCAGAGCCCGTAAACCACAGCGAGGGCCCTTGGACGGAAGTTGTGGCGAGTCAGTGTGCGGGTATTACGCCCATGGACCCCGTCATCATAACGCCGGATGACGTAGCTGAGGCGGTCCGTAGGGCCCCGAACTGGAAAAGTCCGGGGCTTGACGGGCTGCATCACTACTGGCTGAAGGGGTTCATGGTGTGTCACTCTGTGCTCGCCCGACAGTTTCAAGAGGCTCTCAACCAGAAGTCGCTCCCAAGCCTCTTCACTACTGGGATCACTCATTTGGTTCCTAAAGACCAGGGTACCACAGACCCGAGCAAATACCGCCCCATCACGTGTCTACCGACCATATACAAGACACTAACATCCATTTTGAGCGCGAGAATCACTTGTCACCTGGAGCTAAATCAGGTGATGTCACGCGCTCAAAATGGATGTCGGGGCGGTGGTCGTGGAACCAAGGAACCACTCCTTATTGACGCGGTCATTGGCAAAGTGGTGAAACGCAACCGTCGGAACTTCTCCGCCGCCTGGATAGACTACAGAAAGGCATTCGACTCGGTGCCGCATACATGGCTAAAGAGAGTCCTCGAGCTGTACAAGATAGACTGTACAGTTAGAGACTTCCTCGAGCAGTGTATGGGGCAGTGGAGTACGATCCTTTGTCATCTGGGCGAGCGGATGATGGCTGCGGAGAACCACATAAGGATAAGAAGGGGTATCTTCCAGGGCGATTGTCTGAGTCCAATCTGGTTCTGCCTCTCTCTGAACCCTCTCAGTACCTTATTGGAGGGCTCCGGGAGGGGATTTCAGCTATGGAAAGGAGGGACAAAAGTGACCCACCTTTTCTATATGGATGACCTCAAGTTATTCGCCTCCAGTCGCTCCCATCTTATGGAATTGCTAAACATCACTTGTGAATTTAGCAATTCCATTGGAATGGAGCTGGGGACGGATAAGTGTGCGGTCCTCCATGTTGAAAGGGGAAGGGTTGCTAACTCTGAGGGCGTAGACTTATCTATGCCCGTCAACTTAAGGACCCTTTCCGAGGCTGAAATATACCGATACCTGGTTATGTCACAGAACATCGGTATCGATGAGGCTGGTATGAAACAGTCAGTTTGCGACGTGTTTTATGCACGCTCTACCAAAGTGCTTAACAGCCTTTTGTCCGGTGTGAATAAGATACACGCATATAACGGCTGGGTCAAGCCTGTCCTCATGTATACCTTTGGCACACTCAGGTGGACTCAGACTGAACTTAACGCCCTGGAAAGAAAAGTCCGCACTACCATGACGTCCCATAGGATGCATCATCCGAGATCGTCGGTAATGAGGCTGTACTTGCCGCGAAAGCATGGTGGGCGTGGCTTCTTGAGCGCGCTCACCATGCATAATCGCGAAGTGTGCAGCCTCCGTAATTACTTCCTGGCGAGATCGGATGATCCATTCTTTAAGGACGTCATTTCTAGTGATAAAGGACTTACCCCTCTATCCTTAGCCAACGAGCAATGGCAAGACCCGGCAGTGCAGACAATTTCCGACCGGGAGAACGTATGGAAGGAGAAGGAGCTCCACGGGAGGTTCTACAAGGCTCTACATGAGCCTTTCGTAGACACAGTAGCCTCCCTCCACTGGCTACGCTTTGGTGATCTATTCGGGGAAACCGAGGGTTTTGTCTGTGCAATACAGGATCAGGTTATTAAGACCAACAACTATCGGAGATACATCCTAAAGGATGGCACCGTGGACATCTGTCGAGCTTGTCGCCATCCCGGTGAGTCACTTAGGCATGTCATCTCCGGTTGTTCGGCGCTTTCTAACTCTGAGTACTTGCACAGGCACAACCTAGTAGCCAGAATTCTTCACCAGGAGCTCGCTCTGAAATACGGTCTCGTGGATCGGAAATTGCCGTATTACAAGTACTTGCCGGAAGTCGTGCTCGAAAATGATCGCGCCAGGCTCTATTGGGACCGGGCCATCATCACAGACAGGACTATTCTTGCGAATAAGCCTGATATTGTGCTGATGGACCGGGCACAGTCAAGGATATTTTTGGTCGACATTACCATTCCGTATGACGAGAACCCCGTGAAAGCCGAAACAGACAAGCAAACAAAATATCTGGACCTGGCTCACGAGGTGACCGACATGTGGGGTGGTCTGCCGACCGAAATTATTCCTGTAGTCGTCTCTGCAAACGGGCTAATCCCAGTCAGCCTCTCGGGTCATCTGAGGCGGCTGGGACTACGTGGCGGACCGCTCCAGGTTCAAATGCAGAAGGCGGTGCTCCTCGATACCGCCCGCATCGTCCGCCGGTTTCTTTGCCTTTCCCCCTAACCCTCGGCCATTTGGTCTCCCCTGCCGAGGGCCTCCATCTGGTTGGGCTTTTATTTATTTATGTACTTTTATATTTATTTTATGTTATTGATATTTATGTATATTTGTATTTTCATTTTCATTTATAATTATATATTTATAGCACCCAACCGGATGAGAAAACTATATAGATACCCCATAATAATAAGGACTCGTGGACCGGAAATTGCCGTATTACAAGTACTTGCCGGAAACCGTGCTCGAAAATGATCGCGCCAGGCTCTATTGGGACCGGGTCATCATCACAGACAGGACTATTCTTGCGAATAAGCCTGATATTGTGCTGATGGACCGGGCACAGTCAAGGATATTTTTGGTCGACATTACCATTCCGTATGACGAGAACCTCGTGAAAGCCGAAACAGACAAGCAAACAAAATATCTGGACCTGGCTCTCGAGGTGACCGACATGTGGGGTGGTCTGCCGACCGAAATTATTCCTGTAGTCGTCTCTGCAAACGGGCTAATCCCAGTCAGCCTCTCGGGTCATCTGAGGCGGCTGGGACTACGTGGCGGACCGCTCCAGGTTCAAATGCAGAAGGCGGTGCTCCTCGATACCGCCCGCATCGTCCGCCGGTTTCTTTCCCTTTCCCCCTAACCCTCGGCCGTTTGGTCTCCCCTGCCGAGGGCCTCCATCTGATTGGGCTTTTATTTATTTATGTTCTTTTATATTTATTTTATGTTATTGATATTTATGTATATTTATCTTTTCATTTTCATTTATAATTATATATTTATAGAACCCAACCAGATGAGAAAACTATATAGATACCCCACAATAATAATAATAATAACTTTGAGTAGCCGTAGTAGTCTAGTAGCCAGAATTCTACACCAGGAGCTCGCTCTGAAATACGGTCTCGTGGACCGGAAATTGCCGTATTACAAGTACTTGCCGGAAGCCGTGCTCGAAAATGACCGCGCCAGGCTCTACTGGGACCGGGCCATCATCACAGACAGGACTATTCCTGCGAATAAGCCTGATATTGTGCTGATGGACCGGGCACAGTCAAGGATATTTTTGGTCGATATTACCATCCCGTATGACGAGAACCTCGTGAGAGCCGAAACAGACAAGCAAACAAAATATCTGGACCTGGCTCACGAGGTGACCGACATGTGGGGTGGTCTGCCGACCGAAATTATTCCTGTAGTCGTCTCTGCAAACGGGCTAATCCCAGTCAGCCTCTCGGGTCATCTGAGGCGGCTGGGACTACGTGGCGGACAGCTCCAGGTTCAAATGCAGAAGGCGGTGCTCCTCGATACCGCCCGCATCGTCCGCCGGTTTCTTTCCCTTTCCCCCTAACCCTTGGCCGTTTGGTCTCCCCTGCCGAGGGCTTCCATCTCGTTGGGCTTTTATTTATTTATGTATTTTTGTATTTATTTTATATTATTGATATTATTGATATTTATGTATATTTATCTTTTCATTTTCATTTATAATTATATATTTATACATCCCAACCAGATGAGAAAACTATATAGATACCCCACATAATAATAATAATGTAATAATAATAATAAAAATGGATGTCGGGGCAGTGGTCGTGGAACCAAGGAACCACTCCTCATTGACGCGGTCATTGGCAAAGTGGTGAAACGCAACCGTCGGAATTTCTCCGCCGCCTGGATAGACTACAGAAAGGCGTTCAACTCGGTGCCCCATATATGGCTAAAGAGGGTCCTCGAGCTGTACAGGATTGACTGTACAGTTAGAGACTTCCTCGAGCAGTGTATGGGGCAATGAAGTACGATCCTTTGTCATCTGAGCGAGCGGATGATGGCTGCGGAGAACCACATAAGGATAAGAAGGGGTATCTTCCAGGGCGATTTTCTGAGTCCAATCTGATTCTGCCTCTCTCTGAACCCTCTCAGTACCTTACTGGAGGGCTCCGGGAGGAGATTTCAGCTACGGAAAGGAGGTACAAAAGTGACCCACCTTTTCTATATGGATGACCTCAAGTTATTCGCCTCCAGTTGCTCCCATCTTATGGAACTGCTAAACATCACTTGTGAATTTGGCAGTTCCATTGGAATGGAGCTGGGGACGGATAAGTGTGCGGTCCTCCATGTTGAAAGGGGAAGGGTTGCTAACTCGGAGGGCATAGACTTGTCTATGCCCGTCAACTTAAGGACCATTTCCGAGGCTGAAACATACCGATACCTGGGTATGTCGCAGAACATCGGTATCGATGAGGCTGGTATGAAACAGTCAGTTTGCGACGTGTTTTATGCACGCTTGACCAAAGTGCTTAACAGCCTTTTGTCCTGTGTGAATAAGTCACATGCATATAACTGCTGGGTCATGCCTGTCCTCATGTATACCTTTGGCATACTCAGGTGGACTCAGACTGAACTTAACGCCCTGGATAGAAAAGTCCGCACTACCATGACGTCCCATAGGATTCATCATCCGAGATCGTCGGTAATGAGGCTGTACTTGCCGCGAAAGCATGGTGGGCGTGGCTTTCTGAGCGCGCTCACCATTCATAATCGCGAAGTGTGCAGTCTCCGTCAATACTTTTTGGCGAGATCGCATGATCCATTCTATAATGACGTCATTTCTAGTGATAAAGGGCTTACCCCTCTATCCTTAGCTAACGAGCAATGGCAGGACCCAGAAGTGCTTAGCATTTCCGACCGGGAGACCGTATGGAAGGAGAAGGAGCTCCACGGGAGGTAGTACAAGGCTCTACATGAGCCCTTCGTAGATACAGTCGCCTCCATCAACTGGCTACGTTTCGGTGACCTCTTCGGGGAAACCGAGGGTTTTGTCTGTGCAATACAGGATCAGGTTATTAAGACCAACAACTATCGGAGATACATCCTAATGGATGGCCCCGTCGACGTCTGTCAAGCTTGTCGCCATCCCGGGGAGTCACTTAGGCATGTCATCTCCGGTTGTTCGGCGCTTTCTAACTCTGAGTACTTGCACAGGCACAACCTAGTAGCGAGAATTCTACACCAGGAGCTCGCTCTGAAATACGGTCTCGTGGACCGGAAAGTGCCGTATTACAAGTTATTGCCGGAAGCCGTGCTCGAAAATTACCGCGCCAGGCTCTACTGGGACCGGGCCATCATCACAGACAGGACTATTCTTGCGAATAAGCCTGATATTGTGCTGATGGACCGCGCACAGTCAAGGATATTTTTGGTCGACATTACCATTCCGTATGACGAGAACCTCGTGAAAGTCGAAACAGATAAACGAACAAAATATCTGGACCTGGCTCACGAGGTGACCGACATGTGCGTTGGTCGGCCGATCGGAATTATTCCTGTAGTCGTCTCTGCGAATGGGCTAATCCCAGTCAGCCTCTCGGGTCATCTGAGGCGACTGGGACTCCGTGACGGACAGCTCCGGGCTCAAATGCAGAAGGCAGTGGTCCTCGATACCGCCCGCATTGTTCGTCGGTTTCTTTCCCTTTCCTCCTAACCCTCGGCCGTTTGGTCTCCTCTGCCGAGGGCTTCCATCTGGTTCAATCTTTATTTATTTGTGTAGTTTTTGTATTTATTTTATTTTATTGATATTTATGTATATTTATCTTTTAACTTTAATTTATAATTATATATTTATAGAAACCAACCAGATGAGAAAACTATACAGATACCCCTATAATAATAATAATATACAGGCGTAGGGACGTGACGACCCCATCGCCCGCTGACGTAACGGTTATGTGACAAATCCGCTACGTCAGCGCAGTTAGTCAGCACCTTGCCAAGAGGTTTTAGTGCCGTGCCTCGGCAAAAATTGAAGGTGCAAAGGCCCGCTTGTGCACATGGCCTCACCATGAAACGGCGCCGGGCATGGGCGTCTCCCGCTAAACGACGCCCTAAAAATGGTTGATGGAATTAAATAGAACGCGCAAAGGGCCGCTGCCTGGAGGTCAACAGGGCGCGTCTGGAGCTGGCGCTGGACGCGACAGCATGCGAACCACCAGCCGAGCGCGAGGTGCTGCACGACCACCCAGCAGCCCCTCACATCCATCATCCCCACCAGCTGGCTTGGTGTCGGCAGGGTCTTCGCGGGCCCAGCAATCACACCCGCCACTGGTGGAGTACGCCGCATTCGTTGGACAACCCAGATGAACAGCAACGCATTGCGGGCGTATTTTAGGGCGAAAGGGGGAGAAACCCGAGATTTTGCGTATCGGGCAAGGATGCATCGACTTTTTACTGAGCTGGAGCCATCTGTAACCGTCACCGAGCAAAACCTGGCAGACCGAGTTCGGTATATCTTGCGCTCAAATACATTTGATGTCACCCAACTCGAACAGCTACGACGTGAGGCTGTTCCTTCATCGGGTGAAAATGCTGCGGCTGAGGATGCGGCGCCACAACTTGCTGAGCAAACGGCAAATGTGAATGCCGCCGTAAATATGCCAGTTGTGGTTGATTCAAACGATGATGGAACAGTCGCCCAGGAACTGGAACTAGAGCAAATGAGGAGTACATTGGAAGAGGCGATTGTGGAAACGCGCAGTACGCCTCTCGAAAATCGACCGCGACTTCCCTGCTTAGCCCTAAGCAAGCGGAATTGGGCTGTCGTGAGGGCTCTAAACCCAACGCTGGTTACCTATTTGGAAGCCAGCAAGTACCTTTGCGAGACGGACTCAATTCTTTTTTGAGCCGCACTGGCAGTCGTCCGTATTATAGGCGCCAAACTTTCCACGGCCGGACGCGCTACTGGACAAAGTAGTGCTATCCCAGCCTGGAGAATAAGAATTGAAGAACGTATCGCAAAGGCTAGGGCCCTCATCGGCAGACTGATATGCTTCAGGTCAGGCAATACCAGGACAAGGATTGTGCGCGCCGTCAGGATGGCGTTTGCTGGGACAAATGTTAGTTTGTCCCAGCCGGATATAATGCAAAAACTGACGGAGCGCATAGACGACCTGAAGCAAAGTATCGCTGCTTGGGGAAAGCGGATTCGGCGATATACCGAGAGGTCGACACGGTTCAACCAGAATCGTCTCTTCCAGAGTGATCAGAAGAGGCTCTATAAATTATTGGAGCGACCAATAGTAAGTGGAACGGGCCCAGCACCAAATCAGGCCGACACGGTCGCATTCTGGCGCAGCCTGTGGTCAGAGCCTGTAAACCACAACGAGGGCCCTTGGACGGAAGTTGTGGCGAGTCAGTGTGCGGGTATTACGCCCATGGACCCCGTTATCATAACGCCGGATGACGTAGCTGAGGCGGTCCGTAGGGCCCCGAACTGGCTTGACGGGCTGCATCACTACTGGCTGATGGGGTTCATGGTGTGTCACGCTGTGCTCGCCCGACAGTTTCAAGAGGCTCTCAATCAGAAGTCACTCCCAAGCCTCTTCACTACTGGGATCACTCGGTCTCGGCGGCGGTCGTGGAACCAAGGAACCACTCCTCATTGACGCGGTCATTGGCAAAGTGGTGAAATACAACCGTCGGAACTTCTCCGCCGCCTGGATAGATTACAGAAACGCCGTGTGCCACGGTGCCCCATACATGGCTAAAGAGGGTCCTCGAGCTGTACAAGATTGACTGTACAGTTCGAGACTTCCTCGAGCAGTGTATGGGGCAGTGGAGTACGATTCTCTGTCATCTAGGCGAGCGGATGACGTCTGCGGAAAGCTGCATAAGGATAAGAAGTTGTATATTCCAGGGTAATTGTCCGAGTCCAATCTGGTTCTGCCTCTCTTTGAACCCTCTTAGTACTTTACTGGAGGGCTCCGGGAGGGGATTTCAGCTTCGGAAAGGAGGTACAAAAGTGACTCACCTTTTCTATATGGATGACCCCAAATTATTCGCCTCCAGTCGCTCCCATCTTGTGGAATTGCTAAACATCACTTGTGAATTTAGCAATTCTATTAGAATGGAGCTGGGGACGGATAAGTGTGCGGTCCTACATGTTGAAAGTTGAAGAGTTGCTAACTCTGAGGGCATAGACTTATCTATGCCCGTCAACTTAAGGGCCCTTTCCGAGGCTGAAACATACCGATACCTGGGTATGTCACAGAACATCGGTATCGATGAGGCTGGTATGAAACAGTCAGTTTGCGACGTGTTTTATGCACGCTTGATCAAAGTGCTTAACAGCCTTTTGTCCGGTGTGAATAAGACACACGCATATAACGGTTGGATCATGCCTGTTCTCATGTATACCTTTGGCATAATCAGGTGGACCCAGACTGAACTTAACGCCCTGGATAAAAAAATTCCGCACTACAATGACGTCCCATAGGATGCATCATCCGAGATCGTCGGTAATGAGGCTGTACTTGCCGCGAAAGCATGGTGGGCGTGGCTTCCTGAGCACGCTCACCATGCATAATCGCGAAGTGTGCAGTCTCCGTCATTACTTCCTGGCGAAATCGGATGATCCATTCTATAATGACGTCATTTCTAGTGATAAAGGACTTACCTTTCTATCCTTAGCCAATGAGCAATGGCAAGACCCGGCAGTACAGAGCATTTCCGACCGGGAGACCGTATGGAAGGAGAAGGAGCTCCACGGGAGGTACTACAGGGCTCTACATGAGCCTCACGTAGATACAGCCGCCTCCCTCAACTGGCTACGTTTCGGTGACCTCTTCGGGGAAACCGAGGGTTTTGTCTGTGCAATACAGGATCAGGTTATTAAGACCAACAACTATCGGAGATACATCCTAAAGGATGGCACTGTCGACGTCTGTCGAGCTTGTCGCCATCCCGGGGAGTCGCTTAGGCATGTCATCTGCGGTTGTTCGGCGCTTTCTAACTCTGAGTGCTTGCACAGGCACAACCTAGTAGCCAGAATTCTACACCAGGAACTCGCTCTGAAATACGGTCTCGTGGACCGAAAATTGCCGTATTACAAGTACTTGCCGGAAGCCGTGCTCGAAAATGACCGCGCCAGGCTCTACTGGGACCGGGCCATCATCAAAGACAGGACTATTCTTGCGAATAAGCCTGATATTGTGCTGATGGACTGGGCACAGTCGAGGATATTTTTGGTCGACATTACCATTCCGTATGACGAGAACCTCGGAAAGCCGAAACAGATAAACGAACAAAATATCTGGACCTGGCTCACGAGGTGACCGACATTTGCGATGGTCGGCCGGTGGAAATTATTCCTGTAGTCGTCTCTGCGAATGGGCTAATCTCAGTCAGCCTCTCGGGTCATCTGAGGCGACTGGGACTCCGTGACGGACCGCTCCGGGCTCAAATGCAGAAGGCGATGCTCCTCGATACCACCCGCATCGTCCGCGGTTTTTTTCCCTTTCCCCTTAACCCTCGGCCGGTTGGTCTCCCCTGCCGAGGGCTCCCATCTGGTTGGATCTTATTTATTTATGTAGTTTTTGTATTTATTTTATTGATCTTTATGTATATTTATCTTTTCATTTTAATTTATAATTATATATTTATAGAACCCAACCGGGTGAGAAAATTATACAGATACCTCAATTATAATAATAATAACCCCCCTATGGGATCACCTTGTCGTGGTGGGGGGGCTTAAGGGAAAGGCATGTACTCAACTGCAGTCTGAACAACTATACTCTGTAACAATAACAAGGCAGGATAATCTCGATGCCTATTAATATTTAATGACCCTTTCCCAACTAACGATCCCAAACCAGGTTTAAAAAAAAATGAGTTCACGGCGTAAACTACGGCCCCCAGTGCCCGGCAGATTCAGTAACCATGTCGACTCTGGCGGAAGCCGAGGTGGTACTGTATCTTGGGGCGCTTACAATCTCCGGGCGAGGAAGATTTCCCGTCAAACGACTCAAGTGAGATCCACGGACACCGATATCCTTAGTAACCATGTCGACTCTGGCGGAAGCCGAGGTGGTACTGTATCTTGGGGCGCATACAATCTCCGGGCGAGGAAGATTTCCCGTCAAACGACTCAAGTGAGATCCACGGACACCGATACCCTTAGTGATAGTGATAGTTTATATACCCCCGGAAACGATAGACAAAAATCAATACCCAACATTTCACACCAGTCTTTATCTTCTTCATTATCATCAAGTAGCCAATTGCAGAAGGATGATGCACAGAAAACAACACGCGTAAAAAATGGACTTGTGAAATGAATGAATTTATATTGCGTACTTACCTCTATTTAACAATGATGGATACTGACACTAAAGGTTATTTACAACCATTACACATGAAATTTATAGAACGATTCCCAGATATGCAAGTTACTCGTCAAGGAATAGGATATCAGCGAAGAGCAATAACGAATAACAAACTTTTGCCCCAAGAAATAGTAAATCAAATTTATAATGAAGTTCAATCAAATTTACAGACTACATTTGCCCAATCAATCTCTGTTACACAAAATAATCAACACACTAATATCCACCCTTTACAAACACAACAACGCATGAAATGGACAGACAAATATAATGAAGCTATAATAAGAATTTACTACAAAATAACGCAATGTGAGAAAAATAAAATAGCATATAGGAAACTCTTACACAAAGAGTTTATAAACCAATTCCCCCATTTAAGTCATTTGACAGAGCAACGCATAGCTGACCAAAGAAGATTAATTCTACATAAGAAATATTTAAGTGTTGACCGCTTAGAATTAATTAAGAATGACTTACAAGAACAGCATAACGATATACAAGCCAATGACAACTCAATAATTCAGATAGGTATCACAGACAACGAAGAACCAGAGACAGAAAGTTTAGATTTAAATGCTGAAAACCACACAACAAATGAAAATGAAAATTTACATAGGGAAAAGATAATTGCCATAGATGAAATTTTTGCTAAAGCTTTAGAATATTTTGCTAATACAAACCCAACAGAAAGACAATTTATACCAAAGCAGAGGTCATCAAAAAAAATTGAGTAAAATAGTCGCCTATGTAAATAATATTTTATTGCCACTATACATCAACAGCGAAATTGAATTTAAAACATTTCAGAATTTAGTGCACTGTGCAGAATGGACTTCAGCTAAGCTCAACGGAGCTAAAATTGAAATAGCTGTACAAGTTGATAATCCGTTAGGACCTGAGAAACAAAAGAAATATAATAAGCCAAAGTGGGAACAAAGATTAGAAAACAAAGTAAGTGAATTAAGAGCAAAAATTGCAAGGCTAACACAATATATTAATGGAAACCGAGGTCAAAAATTAATCAAACACGTAAATTCTATACTCGAACAACATAAAATTCATTCTGCCCACGAAGAACATAACACCAAACACGAACATTTTTTAGACACACTTAAACAAAAGCTAAAACTTACTGGTAGTCGGTTAAAAAGATATAGAGCATGCTCTCTACGAAAAACTCAAAACATTCTATTTTGCTCAAATTAAAAACTTTTCTACCGTAATATAAAAAAACCTTTTAAAAATAAAATTAGCAGTTTGAAAAGCCCCGAAAATAATATCATACCATCACCGAGAGAATTACAAAGTTACTGGTCTACAATATGGGAGGAACCTGAACATTATAATACAGAAGCGGATTGGATCAAAAATCAAATAAACACATCACAGATTAAAGCCATACAATTTCAACACATCAAGATAGACACATTCCATAAAGTAATTAAAAAACTGCATAATTGGAAAACACCTGGATCAGATAATATACATAACTATTGGTATAAAAAGTTTACAACTATCCACCCGATTCTTTTTAATTTTGTTAATAAATTCGTACAAAGCCCGCATACTTTGCCGCAATACGTTAATTCAGGAATAACGTATATGATACCAGAACAGCCTAGTAATCTTGACATCCTGCAAAATATAGATCTATCACATGTTTACAAACATTGTACAATATAATTACATCTTGCTTAACCAAAACCATTTATGAACACATAGAAGCTAATAACATATTGTCAGAAGAACAAAAGGTTGTAGGAAATTTAGTCAGGGTCGCAAAGAACAGCTCATTATAGATGCAGTAGTATTAAATATTATAAGAAACCGTATGATTCAATATCGCACACTTGGTTATTAAAAATTTTAGAAATATACAAAATACACCCAAACATAATACAATTTTTACAGGCTGCGATGACCAATTGGACAACGAAACTTAAAATTAACTCACTAGATGGAATGATAGAAACAGATATTATTGCAATAAGAAGAGGTATTTTTCAAGGGGATGCACTTAGTCCTCTCTGGTTCTGCCTTGCAATAAACCCCTTATCACAAACGTTAAACTCAAAAAACATAGGGTACCTTTTACAATACCATACAACACAAGATCATATACATACTAACAAAGAAGAAAAAAAACTTAGTCATCTTTGGTATATGGACGATCTAAATTTATATGCTACTACTCAAGATGAATTAGATCAATTAGTTATATTAACGGAAAATTTTTCACGAGATATTGGAATGGAATTTAGTATTGATAAGTGCAACATTAATTCAGTAAGAGCTGGACAGTATTATGAACATAACTATCAGTTGCAAACAGGACAGCAAATCAAATCTTTAGAGGAAAATGGAGTGTATAAGTATTTAGGATATAGTTAGTGAAAACAAATACATCACAAAGAAATTAAAAATACATTAACATATCAGTTTCGATATAGACTTCGCTTAGTATTAACATCTCAATTAAATTCTAAAAATATATTTAAAGCTATTAACACATTTGCAATTCCCATACTAACTTATTCCTTTGGCATAATACACTGGTCCAAAACTGAACTAAAAAAGCTACAACGCGAAATAAATACATCACACGAGGCACCGTAAACACCATCCCAGATCATGCATACAAAGACTAACATTGCCACGAAATGAAGGAGGAAGAAGGGTAATAGACATAGTTAACTTACATATCAGACAAATAACTACACTCAGAAATTACTTTTATGATAAAACAGCAATATCATCACTACACAATGCCATAGTACAGAATGATCATAAATTGACACCGCTTAATATGCATGATCCTCTTTCGTCCGAGATCGCGTTACAAGCAGACGTGTTTTTGTTTTTATTTTTAAACCTAATGATAGTTTCACATAATTGTACACCTTATATGAATGTAGGATAACGAATAAAACTGTGTAACATACATTCGTACATTCGAACTCAAGCTGATCGCCGTAGCCGCTTCGTCGCTGTGTTCTCCCCGACCCGCACACCTCGAGGGAAAGAGTTGGTTGCATAATTGCTTTCCTTATCATCGATCAACGCTACGAACTGCTACGACGCGCTAATTACTGCTGGCTGCAATTTCTTCGTAACCAGCGCTACGAAACACCTACGCTGTTGAACTGTGGTGAGCTACAAACTTTACTTTTACTTCGCGACTAATTACATTTAATTAACAATGCCATTAAAACGCACTCCGCCGCCTCAAAAATCAGTTTCGGATTCTAATCTCGACGACGTGGGCCTAAGCGACAAAGTGGTAATGGAAAAAGAATCACAGAATAATAAGTTAAGACAGAAACGTAAGCGGGAGATCGAAGGATCTGGATTTATGGACGAAATTCGCAGTTTATTTAATAATTTCACTGAGCAACAAAATAATAAACTAGAAAGCCTACAGTCTGCCATTAAAGATATTAAAACACAGAATTCTGAAATTACGGCCACGATACAATTATTATCGGATAAATATGATGACTTTCGTAAGGAGTTGGATCTGTTAAAACATGAGCGTAAAGAACAACTCGCTTATATAAAAATACTTGAAAACCGGCTTGATAATTTCGAAAATAACACGTGTGCTGCAAAAATTGAAATACGTAATATTCCTAAAATTTCAAATGAGTCAAAACTAGAACTTACTAGGGTGGTACAGAGCATTGGAGATCTTATAAATACCCCAATTCTAACGACGGATATAAAAGATCTACATCGAGGATTCGCCAAACCCCATTCGCCTAAACCTATCGTGGTCGAATTTGTATCCGTCCTTAAGAAGGAGAGTATATTAAAATCTGTTAAAGCCTATAACAAATCTGGGAGTGAAAAGAAACTTAACACATCACTTCTGAAATTGGATGGCCCTTCAGTGCCTATTTTCATCTCTGAAAGTCTCACTTTCAAGGGTAAAAGATTATTTTTCCTCGCTCGCAACTTTGCTAAAACACATGGATATGCTTTCTGTTGGTCATCTTATGGAAAAATATACTTGCGGAAGAAGGAAGGAAGCCCACAAATAAGAATTAATGAAGAAGCAGATCTTGCAAAGCTAAAGGAAGCCAACATATGACTGTTATTTCAGTTTATAGTGTATATAATAAGAAAAATGTTTTTACTACTAATTATTCAAATAACGTATTGTACTAGCCTAGATTATTCATTTTTTTATCTTGTTCTGTACACATTATCTTATTACTTTTTTAACTACTCTACACTTTACATGCTAATGATACTCCTTGATATTTATAACTCCATAACATACCACTACACACTTACACAATACACAACCATTACTTATAAAAATCTTATTTATATAGTTAATAACATTGCTCTCAACTTATTACTCTCTCTCATCAATTTAATATACTTAGTAGAACTATTTAAACTAGAACCTAAATGCCATATAATTTATAAAAATGGATGAAGATATAGGAGATGAACTTGATCAAATTTCTGTATCTGAATCTGCCATATGTGAAGTTGAGCAAACTAAACTATTGCTACATGGCCAACCCAATAATATTATTATTATTACTCAAAATATTCGCAGTATCAATAAGAATTTTGACGGTTTCACAGTATTATTGAAAAGACTTGAGGTTGACTGTGACATTATTATTCTGACCGAAAGCTGGCTTGGTTCTGATCCTTTATTGCCTAATTTAAATGGATATAGTAGTCATGCAACAACAAAACATGCATTGCAGAATGACGGAATCGTGGTATATGCTAAATCTGATATCAACATTACTTTTGAAGAACCGACATTTCTAGAAGGAAACTGTCTTGTTATGAAACTCGGTCACGAAACTGCAATTATAGCTATATATCGTACGCCTTCATACTGCAAATTGGACTCTTTTAATCTCAATCTTAACGTTATTTTGTCAAATTTATCAACTTTTAAAAACATATCAATTATAGGTGACCTAAACATAGACATTAGACCAGAAAATAGAGATAAAAGAGCTCACGATTATCTTAATCTTTGTGCTAGCCATGGTTTATTACCTGCCCACACTTGTCCAACAAGGGAAAATAAAACGTGTCTCGATCACGTCTTGCTCAAAACAAAAAAGCCAGCTCTTACATTGGTGATTACTTCTACATTAACTGACCATCAAGCAGTACTCCTGTGCTTAAATCAGAATGAAATTAAAAAGTCCTCTTTAAAACATAGAACTAAATTAAATCATGAAGGATTACTTGCGGACATGGGTAATATAGACTTTGAAATAATATATAAGTCAAATGACGCTAATTTTTGTACAGAATTTTTAGTTACATCTTTAAAAACTGCAATAGAACAAAATACAAGCATAGTATATACATCTAGACGATTAAAAAACATTAAGCCATGGATAACCCCCCGGCCTAATAAGATGTATGCGTAATAGGGATCAAATGCATCTGAAAGTAAAACGTGCACCAGAAAATATAGTACTTAAACTCACATATACACGATACAGAAATTATTGCAATAGTCTATTAAAAAAGCTTAAAAGAGAGCATGAGAAAACTCAATTAGAATTAGCGGGTAAAGACAGTAAAAAAGTGTGGGAAGCCATTAAAATTATTACACACACATCTAAGCAGAAATCATCGTCTCAGGAATTACTGAAAACTGACTGTATTAAAGACTCCTTAAATAGTATTAATAATTTCTTTGCAACTGTTGGGAAAAACATCGCAGAAAAAAATATTGTAGAAAAAC